GTGCACTCTGCCCCTTCCTCCAGGTCATTGATGAATACACTGAACAAGACTGGACCCAGGACTGACCCCTGGGGGACACCGCTAGCCACAGGCCTCCAACTTGACTCTGCGCCATTCACCACAACCCTCTGCGCTCGGCCATCCAGCCAGTTCTCAAGCCACCTCACCGTCCACTCATCTAGCCCACACTTCCTGAGCTTACCTAGGAGGAGGTGATGGGAGACAGTGTCCAAAGCCTTGCTGAAGTCCAGGGAGACAACATCCACTGCTCTGCCCTCATCTACCCAGCCACTCATTCCATCAGAGAAGGCTATCACATTGGTCAAGCATGATTTCCCTTTGGTGAATCCATGCTGACTACTCCTGATCCCCATCTTGTCCTCCACGTGCTTAGTGAGGACCTCCAGGAGGAGCTGTTCCATCCCCTTTCCTGGGATGGAGGTGAGGCTGACAGGCCTGTAGTTTCCCTGGCTCCTCCTTCTTGCCCTTTTGGAAGACTGCAGTGACATTGGCTTTCTCCAGGATGACAGTCAAGCACTGGAGCAGGCTGCCTGAGCAGACTATGCAGTCTGCATCCTTGGACACTTTCAGGAGCCAACCGGATAAAGCCCTGAGCAACCTGGTCTGACCCCAGAGCTGATCCTGTTCTGAGCAAAAGGTTGTACTGGAGACCTCCTGAGGTCCCTTGCAGCCTAGATGACCCTACGGTCCAGTAATTCTATGATATTTAGATGTATCAGAAAAGGGGGAAAAGGAGCTGCTGTCCTATTATTTCATAATTTCACTGCCATACATGCCAGTACATAGAATAGCACATAACACTTCATTCTGACCACTGGGTATATGCATGCGTATACATGTTCATACATTTTTATACATATGGAAGAGGAAAATAAAAAGTTAATACAAGAGGGTACCACATCCGGTTATCCGATGTCACAGGGGAAGATTTTTCTTTACAGAGTTAGAAAGTTTCAGCAAATATTAAGTGGACAAGGTGCTAAGAGCACCGAGAAGTTAATTATTTCCCGTTTGAGGGCTTTTTGTTATAATTTACATGGTACATTTAACAGTTGTACTGTAATGATATATATTTACATAATAGTATTCAGTAGTGTACGCTCAGCTGACAAAAAGATAAATGACTGATCATTTTCATATGTTAAAAGCATTTTCTACCAAGCAGGATGATTAAAGCATTTCTGAAAAATCTATTGTATTTGAGATAGCTTTGATAACTGCTTTCCCCCCCCCCAAGGACCTTTTATAGGTGAAACCAAACAGATGGTCACATTGATCCTTTTAGATGATCCACAGAAACAGGATGATATAAGTATTATGATCCGCGTAACCCGCACTGAAGGAAGGAGTCATACTCTGCCCAGCACTGACCCTGTTATTCTGGTCAGTGACAATGCAGGAGGAGTTATTAGATTTCAGATAGTCTCAAGATCTCTTATTGATTGCAAAGGCAGGTTCCTCTTCCTATTGACCACATTCACTTTTTGTGCCATAAACTTCCCTATTCATGCTGTCTTTGGATGAGAATTTGTACAGGTTGCCTATTTCATTGTTGTGATGAAAGTGGTACAGAAAAGAATCTGTGTCTACAGATACAGCAGCTAGGAACTAGCTAGCATGTATTTCACTGTAGTTTAACTATCTTTCCGATACAACTTTAAGAACCCTTCACAAGGACATTGTATGTTCTTGTGCTTTTTCTTTAATAAAGTTCCTATTTTGCAGGTCTATTCTTATTTTGTTTGTTTTCTTTTAAGCATTTCTCAGATATTTATGTAAGGTGGAATTCATCTAGAAGTAATTGGCCATATTTAAGCTAGTCATCTAATCTTCCTTTTCTGTCACCAGTGACAGACTGGCACCTCCAAAGGGCAATTTTCATCCCATCCTAAAATAGGCGTATGAAAGATTATAAAAGGCATGAAATTAATTCTAATAGTAATGTTAAATTCTGAGTTTGGATACAATTCCTACTGCATTCATATCATATCTATAGCATACATGAGCTTCATCTATTGCTTCATATGTTAATTATTCTCATCTGTATTAAATATTCTGTAATACACTTCTGAAAATGATTAAGACAGGCCAATCACTAACACTATGAGCTTATCATGGTTTTTAAATATCCTTTGGGGGATTTTTCATTGGAAAGTGTTGATTAATTGAAACTGATTCTTTGGTCCAGGATGGAATTTCTGGTAAAATATATAAAGAGAGAGTACTCTTCTCAGAACAGCAAGTAGTCTGGTTGTAATACTAATTAAGTGTGGAAATTTTTTTCTTTAGGATAGGAATTTTATCCAGTCTGCCATTCTAGATAACTTAACTATTCCACTGGGATATAAGGTGATTTCATGGTCTAATGAATCTTTAATTAATGATACAGGTTTGGATAATTTCAGTAAACAGTATTGAGGACAGCCAACAACTTACTGCTGATGCAGCTCACTTGGGTCTCCTGAATCTCCAGGAAGTTCTTTATGTACTAGACCTGTTTGGGGATCTTTTAATTTTTTCTCATTTTTCATTCCCCAGAACAACCAAACAAAAGATCCTGAAACACAGACACAAAACTTTCACAGAAAAAAATTTCTCCCCTAAAATAAATACCTTAAAATCTTAATCTTCAAATCTTTAAATCTTAAAAAGAAAAGAATTGAAAAGAATTTCTAGACTTCCTAAACTTCTGTTTTAAATAGAAAAGATGGATAAATGATAAAGATGGGCCATAACACACAACCATAAAAAATAAGACTGATTTGCAAGTAAGTCAGGATTTATCAGGATGATGCTAATTTTGTCATGTAAAAATTATGTAAGGAGAGAGAGGGTAGCCTGATACGAAGGAGGTAATGGAAACACAGATAATCGGAACACCTATATAATGTGAAAAAATGACAGAAGAAGCAAAAAGAGGGCCTGAGAGTGTCATGGACGGCAATGGAGTGGAAGAGGTTGAAGAGGGAAGGGGCTGAGGGATCATCCAGTCAGCAGAGATGCATTTCAGAACATAACCCTTGGGCTGTCCTACATTAGACTGGGAGGCTTGTGTCTCAGTTTTCATGAAGCATCCTGCCTCATGTAGTACTCTGATTTCTAAACCAATAGAGCAGAATTCCTCTCAGCTTTTGCCATTGACATTGTAGATGTCTCCATCTAAGCCAGCCAATCATGTCTCCTACTCTTCAGGAAAAAAAAAAAAAAAAAACTCTTGCAATTCACCCGATCTGTTTTCAACCCATTATGAACTGCACATTAGAAGGACAGCATTGGTGGACTAGACTGGAAGCCCCCATCACTCTTCACTGGAGTTCTGCTTTGGTTTCCCTGCCTTGCCTCCATCACCTAACATTGTAGGAAGCCATTGATTTGCCCTTCCAGCCAACTCCTGCCTGCTAAGATACATTTTTAAAACCTTTATGGTTTATACTACTTCACATTTTGCATATTAGTAACAGTATTTATTTGTACATAGTGCTGTACAGCTACTAAGCTGTTGAACCCTGATGTACTTTCAGCTTTTGACAGGAAGCATACCTAATCTCTGCAAACACATAATTAGAATAGCAATCGGATATAAGAAAAAAGCCCTTGTTCAGGAATATCAGTGAGAGAATATCACGCGCTCCTTCTATCCAAGCCAGTCTGCTTTCAAGATCTGAGACTCCTCAATCACACAAAGTAAATGTTCTAAACGGTAATATCATAACATTACACTTATCCTAGAAATTTGCTTGAAAGAGTCTACCACTTCCATTACAGTTCCATAATACTTCAAACCAGATTCCACAGAAAAAGTGATCAAAATCCATACCACTTTGCAAAATGTATGTGGGAATGGGAGCAAGAAAGAGAAACATCTACAGTCAAATCTGGCTTAACATCTGAAAGTAATTTAAACTGTTTCTGTATGTATAAAATGGGGATAAGAAAGCTTAGTCAGCTACTTCAAATAGCTGTCATAAAGATTTTTTAGAGAATAGTCTTAAAGATGTTTTATGGAAAAGAACTCTGCTTTCCACATTATTTGGTTTTTGACAAAGAGAGGTTTAGGAGTCACTCGCTAGAAATTTCAACCCACTCAAGAACAGAAGGAATGTAATCTGTTGCTACATTTTTAGATAGCTCCCACAACTGTGTGACAGAAAACTATTTGCCTAATAGTCATATACCCAAAATAGTATTGCTATGAGATCTTGAACTTCGCTATTTTGCTATAATACTCATTATATTGTACTAAAAGTTACCATAAAATGAAGTGGAACTGGAGAGAGAAATAGGTACCCCTGGGGAAAAACAGGTAAATGTCATATTTACACATATCTTTAAACACCACAAAAAAACAATTAAAAGAAAAGAAGCTCTGACAAGATGAAGTGATATATAGAGAGAAAAATTTTAGCATATTTCTAAGTCTAGATTTATACAACTTCATGCATTCTGTCATGTCTCTTTATGGTTAATTAGCTATTTGGTTACATTTTTCAGAGAGTATATTTATCAAGTTCACTAGGAAAAACAATTCAAATTAAACTAAAGACTTAAGAAACTATGAGAGCATCATACAGCTTTTAACTCCTAATGCTGAATTAAACTGGGATAAACAGAGATACTAGAAAAGTATAGCTGCATCTAATACTCACTTGAACAAAATGGAAATATTTTCATTGCCTTCATTGAGCACAGGATCGGGTTCTGAAGAGGGAAAACCTAGTGGCTAGTGCTGTAGGAAAACAAAAAAGGATTGTCACTTTATCACTAAGTCGTAGCTGCAACAATCAACCATTGTGATTTCTCTGCATCTAATTTATCTGTCCATTAAAACGTGTATAACAAAATGGACATGTCACAGAAAGCCTTAAGTTTTAATAGGTTAGTGTTTATATAGGTAGTACAGAAAATTTGTCAAAGTATGACATACTCAAACATGGAATGAACCGAGTACGAATAAATTACATATACACTGCTCCTTTATACTATGAACTTGTAGACTTAAGTTTGCACGTGTGTGTTTGAGCGTATATACACACATATTTTTCTATATTATAATGCCTCAATGCTCAGGGCTTTGAGGAATAAAAGAATTTTCTGTAATGTGCCAGATACAATCTTCCATTTTTATGAGCTTGTGAAAAAAGCTTTCATAGCAAAGCCAACTTCTCTTCAGGGATTATTTACATTTAGTGTGAAAAGTCATTAAAATTTTCAATTGCTGGATTTTTCAATAAGGCAACATATTCTAATGATCTGTACTGCTTCACATTTCTATTTCTTTTTTTTTTTTGAATCAAAGCTGTGAAAAACACAGTATTATCCTAAAATTTTACATACAGATATACAAGAAATATTAACAAAACAATTGAATAAACCACTTTTTTTGAGCTCAAAAAGGATAAATTCAAATTCAAACTTTTCAGCTGAGCTTCCTCCTCTACTTATTGAGGAAAATAAGTGATTACTAATTAAACCCTTGTTTGCCCTGGAGATTTTCTACACCAATTGCCACCATAAGTGCCTAGAGAACAGAATCATTGCAGCAGTGCAAGTGTAGAGAGGCAAGGCTGATATTTGCATTAGAAGTGTTTACCCCTTGTTTCCCAGTCTGAATAGATCCAACAGTGCAAACAGCTGCTTCATTTGATTACACTAAGGATTTCACCAGGGGAACTATGCTGATAGTCCCTAATACAAAGACTACGACCTCACCCCCTCGGGTTTGTGTCTTCGGTTTCGCCTCTTCACATCCCCCTGCATACACAAATATTGTAGTTCAAAAATTAACTAGGTGCATGAAAAATGACAGGTGCTCTCTCAGATGAGCCCTATTGCCTTGCTGTGCATCTGCTGTTCAAACTCCCAAACTCCCTTGCTGTTTGGCTTCTCAAGCAGCTGTCATTTGACTTCTCAACCTTGCCATTAGATGCCTTCGGTGTTACACTTTTTTTTTTTTTCCAGGATAGATGTTTCTCAAATGTTACCTCAGCCCACACCAGAGACTGCAAGGCAACAAAACTGCAAATAAAGATTTCCTTTCTTCTTTCTCTAAGCAATGCATCTTATTAATGCTAATATTATTCCAAGCATTTTAGCTGCATGCTAGGGGATCAGACCCCATGTGCAAAAGAGCAGGTTTGTAAGAGCAGCTCTGTTCCTTAAAACTCTTAGCCCATTATACTGTGAATATCTGGCTTGCTTTCATGCTCTCTTTGTTTTTGATTAGTTTTTGATTGATTTTGGCTGAACAGCAGCCAAAATTTTAAAACCTCAGAGGCACCTAAATTTGTACTTATACAGCTACATAAAAAGTTCTCATCATCAGAAGCACTGAAAACTCAGATATTTCTCTGACTTCTGTGGACACTACAGGTTTTTGGTAATTTTGAAAATATGCCTTTAAGTGGTGAATTATGGACTTCTAACCCACATACTGTCTAAATGGTCTAAAAAAGATAGCTTATTGGTGATCAGATCTCCCACAAATAAATTCCTTATGCGGCTTTCCTTCCTATATAGTCAACTGCTTAATTACTAATTAGTAGTATTGCAGCAGTGATTATTGTGTCCGAAGAGACTGAACTCTTGCAGCTCATGATATATACACCTAGTAAGAGATGGTCTTCTTACCCAAAGTTTAGAGATGCAGAAATAAGGAATATTACTGTACATAACACTGTCTAGACACCCAAAGGAATTTCACAGTCTATTCATGAGGAGGCAGGGAGACTTTGTGAATGGTACATGTGTTCTGCCCTGTATATGATGCTCTCCTGCAAAGATTGTGCATCTGGGCAGTGACTCCCTGCACAAAGGAGATGTGTGAGTTTCACCAGATCCCTTTGCGTGAAAGGCTGTGACATTCAATACTTTCATCAGTGATTTGGAAGTCAGTAAAAAACTACTGCTGATAAAGCTTGTAGCTGTTGCAAAGAAACTAAGAATGTTTAACAGTGATGAGAATTTGGAAATGAGTGCCATTGAGATTATTTATTTTAGTGACCTATTCAAGCAAAATGATGTCTAAATCAACAAAAGTATCTTCTGTGATATGCTAAAACAAACAAACAAACAAAAACCCCCCACTCAGGATCTAAGAACTAAAGCCTGAGGATTGAATAAAAAAGTTACCAGCTATAACATCAGATTGGACAAAGAATTAGTCCAAAACAATTTTGTTGTTGATAATCATGCTCATTGGAGAAAGAATAAGCCCTCGGCTATGTTTGTACCATCCTTTACAAGCACCAAGAAGCTGCCTTTGAGGCTCTTGTTCAGAACTTGCAGACGCAATCTTCAGAGTATGCAAGAGCTGCCTAAGAGAAGAATATGTACTGAAGTGGGAGGGAAAGAAGAAAAAGAGTAAGTTCTGCTTATAGTCACACCCCAGCCCACTGGTTTAGTGCAGTACAAACAGGTCTTCCGTATGGACTATGTAATGAGGCTTTTGGGTGTGCTGAATAATACTACTTGGCACAATAGAAGGCATCATGGAGTATACTCAAAAAATAAGTTATCGCTTGATAAGGATGGCAATTTGACCCTAAGACTTTGTAATAAGATTTGATTGCCATCAGTGTGGAAAAAATATTCAACTTTCTATACTTCGAGGAAGTTAGAAAGACAAAAATGCAACCGTGACATTTGAAGAAATGAAAAGTCAACATATAACAATGTAAATCACACATAGCAAATACAGCTATAATAAACATACCTTTATCCATCTTAGATACAATGACAAATACTTTCAAAATTCAAATTATATTTTACAGCTTAAGTAAATATTAAAAAGTTGCCAAATCTGCTAGCATAAATCCCTGTGACCTCGTAAGTTTTCACCATGTGCATTAAATAAAATGAGAAGGAACCATGAAAGTTTTTTTGCCTTGCTAAGAGAACAGCCAGGCAAAAAGAGATAGTCTTGCTAACCTTTCAGAAGCACTGTATTTCTAGAAGACCTGTGGAACTGTGGGTTTGCCGGCAGATAGGTTTTGCATGATCTTATTGCTAAAGTTATGGAAAAGGTCATAAATTATTTGCATGGTGATAGCACCTGCAGCGCAGGAATGGCAGCCATCATTTACCATTGACTGTACCTGCTGCAAAGAGCTTACCGCTTAAGAAGAAAGAAAACATTCCACTATGAGAATAACATATATCAAAACAGTTGTGGTCACTCTTGTAGATTAAATCACTTCATCTCGCTGAATTGGTTTTTTCTGTAGGCTACACTAGGGAATACACTTAGCACGCTAGCTTTCTGTAGGGATGGCGTATGTGCATGCCACTGGCTTATGACTCACAGGTTACCTTCTGCGAAACTCAGTGCAACTCACTCTTCACGAGAGTCATGTGGAGCACCATGAGGTAAGGTCTTGCACTGAGGTGATTCCAGAAAAGAAGCTGATGCTCTTGTCAGTTCGTATCCTAACTTTCATCACCCTTTTTGCCTGTGCCATCAGAGCTATTTCTGTGTTATTTGTACTCTCAGTCTGCCTGTATTAATAATGTTTGAGCAAGTCTTGCAGAACCGCAACAGTGGCCAACGTCTCAAGCTGTAACCCACATACAGTGATAAAATTCTTTTTCTTCAGTAATTTGAAACATTATATCTAATATTTATTGCAATGTATATTCTCAGTAGATGACAGAGGTTACGTGATATGTTATCTCCCCCCCCAAACAAACAGACACCCATCTGTCTTTCCTAAAGATGGTGCTTGCCAGCTGTGCATATATAAAGAGTAAATGTAAAAACAGCTGTTCAGTCAGTGCAGCCCATATAGTGAGGTTGTCATTGCAATCATTTTGGCTGGGAAAATTTCCAGTCGTCACACTGCTGCTCCTCATGAATTACACTTGTCAGGAAAACATCAGCATCTTTTATATGGCTTTGGGTTTTTTTAGGATGAATGCTGCAAGTGTATTTAAGGCTATTACTTTCAGAACTTGAGAAAAATCAATCAATAATGCTAAAAAAACATATGTCTGGCTCTCCATTCAAGCAGCAGACTGGAAGTTTGAATAAAAGTATAGGCTGCAAGAAACATAAGAGTTATCCTTCCAGTGCACTCCATATAAAAAGGTCCAGCAATAAGGCCCCATAAAGTATTCTGAACTTCAGAAAAAGATATGGACCAGTTGTAACAGTCCTGAGGAATGCAGTGACAGTGACTGATCAGAGATTTAGAAAATATGGCTATGAGGAGAAATCTGAATAATTGGTATTGTTAAGCGTGCAAAGGAAAAGATGACTGAGGACATGAGAATAAATTTGAAATAGGTTAAAGGCTGTCACAGAAAGAACGGCAACTATTTGCCCTTGTTTAACTTAGTGGATTTAGACTGAGTCAGTAAAGATTCAAGCTGGATAGTAAGAAAAATTTCTAAGGATACAAAGAGTGAAACCCTGCAATCACAATGTGAGGATGCCATGCAACCTTCACCTTGGGAATTTTCAAAAACAGGTTGGAGCTACATCTTATTTAGGCAGACAGGGTCTCCACTTGAGGATTTCTTTAAAAAGTTCCTAACTCTTTCTACAGCATGAACACTGTGTCCTTGCTTGAGAATGATCAGTTCATTAGCCAACTTAAACTTAAGCAAAAGTTATGCGTCTAAATACTAGGAATGGATCCCATGAAATCTACTTGTAGAAATTGTTCAATTCTCTTCAGAGATATAGATACAGATAAAAGCTATGGGGTTTACAGACATACAGCAGTATGC